CATGGAATTACGTCTTATAATTGGCTGAGGAAGTATTACAAATCAAATGCGATATTCTAGAATTGGTGTCATGGTAAACAACATGGAAGAGTTTCTATAGAGAAACAAAACGTGAACTTCAGGATACAAATGACGAACTTTCTGTTGCTGGTAGCTATTATGTGAGTACACTTGTTTAATAACGCATTCTCAGGTACACGGTGTGAATTGCAGAATCAATGTCCCCCCACCTTTTCATACACCGCAGTATTGGCTGTTAAGTTATCGTATAACAATGACGTTCTCCAATTGTCAGTTTCATGTGAATAATAGCGAGGTGTAGTTTTAGCCACTTCACGCTTTCTGCAAAACCTGATATTATAATCTGTTCAGTGCCTGATCCGATGTTTTTGGTGCTAAACAAATGCATTGCGATAAGTTTCGTGAGAATTTATCTGTTTCATTGGAAGGCATATATGTTACTGCAGGTTTGGGTGTCACATTCTATGCATCACAGTGCCCCGCGTGCCAAGTTAACAGAATCATGTATCGCAAACACCCGACGCAGAAGCGTCTCTAGAAGCATTGCCTCATATGATGCAACTTGCATCATCTAAGTTTCCAAACCTGCGAAACTGTTTGAGATTTTAACCTGATACTATTCTCTGCCTTCTACCTCGTTCAGTTTCATGAGATTGCATGTTTAGTATAATATTTCTTGCTTTGCTCGTTTACTTACTTGCCACCTTCTTCTTAACATTTGCAATAACACGATAGTGATCTGTATCACAGTCCACTCCCCAGAAAGGTCTGCCATGAGATGCATTTGAACACCGCTTTCTATCTGTCAAAATATCGTCGATTCGAATGTGTCTCTTGCCGTGAAGAGATGTCAAAGTAAATATGTGAATGTTGCGATGTCGGAACATTGTGTTGTTCGTAATTAGAATTTTTGGATTTGGTAAAATTTACTATTTTAACGCCATTATTACGACCAGTTAGTTGTAAATTCTTCTTCCCAACCGTTGGTTTGCAAATATCTGCCTACTTTGGTATTGAAATCTCACAGTACCATTTTCATGGGAACTCCAGGATTTCGTCATATATACGTTCTAGTCCCTCAGAGAATCTGTCCTTTGTGTTGTCAGTGTTATCACATCTTGGAGCGTGGACACTCAGAACAAAAATATCACACCAGCAACCTCTACACTATCGTGTACAAGATACTATAGCTAACAAATTCTGTCGTCTTAATTGCTGATAAGATTCCATAAGTATGAACAATCCTGCCCCTAATTCATATTTCTCATTCCTATTTCTGGTTCAGTGCCACCCTTGTTCCATCTGACCTCCTGTACTCCCACTGTAATATAACTTATCTGTTGCCATTTCTCTTGTAGTTACTGTCAGTGATCGTTCCCTGTGCCAAAACTTATGTCCATTGTTCTTTGCTTTGGTCGTTCCAAAGAATACGCACAAATATTCGTAGCACGCTGGATTTTACAATGAGGACCTGTCAGCCCACCCCAACTTCCAAGTTCAATGAACACTTTTTGTTGGCTGTCCGCGACTGTTCACTCAGTATATTCGCAGCCATCCTTAGTATCTGGAAGCCGTCTCTTCCATCGGAACTCTGGGACGCGCCATGCTCTGGTATCAGGAGACCCACTTGTCATGGAACGCTGCGTTTTATATGACAGTTATTAAAACGCGGACAATCTGTTGAGAAAGAAACTGTTTCCTAATAAAAAAAAGCCTCCTTTTTATCATTCAGAAGCCTTCTGATTCTACTCATTATAGAGCTCGCCGGAATTGTTGAAGGACACATGTATGTTAGGAAATTCCGATCTTGACATCATCTTGCGTTATGGTTAACTACGTAAAATTGATATGCACATATATGGTTCAATCAAACTTGTCAAAACAAAAATATCATGCCAACCTAAACTTAAAAGGGACAAGTAACGCTGTAAAGCTAACTGAGTGAAAACAACACAGCAAGCCACGGAAAAACCCTGGACGACATGAAGAACCTCCTCATCAAGATAGACAGGCGGCACAAAATCTGCCCCATACAAGAAGGGCGATAGGAATACGGACACGAACCTACGTGGTTTAAAAAATTTTAACTATCGACAATAAAGGTTTTTTTTAAATAACATCTAGAAACTTTTAAAAACTTTACAACACCAGGAAGCTACTGTGATTGTGAAACGTTCGACTTTAAGCGTATTGTGCATTATAGGATATAAGTGTATGTATTTTAAATCAAAACACCTATTGTGATGGTAGTTTCCAGTTTGTAATGATGTTCCCTCTGAAGATGGCCCGTAAGGACCGAAACATGTAAGGGAGATAAGTTTTAACGTAGTAAAAACTTATATGTCACATTGGACGGAGTGGTTTGTATTTGTAATTGTTAACTACGTACTTTAATATACAGTTATCTGACATTAATGGCCTACATTTTCATGAAGAGACGGAATAATGGACGACAATTTATATTCGGAAAAATCTTCATATTGTTATGGATCTCCTGGTCGCATTAAAATGGTAGAATATATTATTTAAAAACAGGATACAAGATGGAACTTTAAATTAAAATTGTTACTTCAACTGCAGATGTATGTGTAATGTAAAGATTAAAAGATATCAGTAACAAACCATAATTTTGTCGCTAATGTGACCAGATGTTGTGCACTCTCATTAAGTCCATTGTTGTGTATTCATTCCCAAAACTAACTAACTAACTAACTAACTAACTGATTAACTCCATGGAGACGATTCCTTCTTGAACAGCAATAAAATTGGAGCATTAGTTTCAAAATGAAGGCGTTATCGGATAAACAGAGCATAAGCCTGCAAGGCGATGTGCTCCTCTTAGTAGTAAAAAAGTAAAGCTATCCCTGTAACAGGCCGAGAAGGCCCATAGGGTTGTGAGTGCACGTACCAAATAATGGCCCAAGTGAACGATTTAACAAAGCTGTTCCATGAAAAGCGACATTGCTAAGCTGGAAGAAACGTGCGTTCGCCGCTCAAGTGTCACGGATGGACCGGAGAACGGACGAAGGAAAACGCGCTTGACCACGTGGGCAGCTACTTCCGTACCGGTAGATATCCCCCCCCCCCTTCCAGAAGTCGACGCAGAAATGATCAGCAAAACGTGGTGTGCCACGGCCAACAGTTTGAGTCAAACGAAGAAAGACTGGAATTTCAAGCCGTATGGCCGAAATTCACAAATTAAATATTGAACGTGGACACGAATCGACGCCGTGATTCACGCCATGCACTCCTGGATATTTTCCCGAATAAAGGATCCCTCTCGAAGGCTCCCGTCACCGAGGAGTGCGCAATATGCATTACGTAAGAGCGTTTTCTGAATGGTCGTATATCCTCGTAACTTTGATAAAATTACATTTTTTAAATTCGCTTAGTGAGGGCTGGAGTCCAACTGGGTCCACTAGGCACGGCGGCAACTGATTGGCCTATTATTGTACCTGCCCCGGGTAATTATGATGCTGGAGAATTTGGTGGAATGAAGATTGGCAGGGGAAACCGAAGTACTCGGAGAAAACCCGCCCCAGCGCCACTTTGTCCACCACAAATCTCACTTGACCAGACCCCGAGATCGAACCCGGGCCGCCGCAGTGGGAAGCCAGCGACTAACCGCTTGAGCTATGGCGCGGCCTTCGTACCTTTGATGATTTTCAGAGTTTTCTTGCCTATTTTCGATCTTAATAACATGACTATCGTGTTTGTCACTGTCCATACTCTAGACTAATTTACATATATGTTCTAACTTTTGTTGTTGAGTTAGTCGTATTTCTGCTCCTTATTGTCAACAAAACGAGGAAGCACTTCCCTCTTCAGCTCCCCGTGACAGGCGTAAGTTAACGAGAAGTGTCCGACTTTTCCTTTATAAATACCAGGGATCCCAAGCTTTGGGCACGTAGCTTGAATGTGGAGGAAAGAAATGGATGTACTCGTATTATAATAGCAGTGAAACCTCTTGTACCAATGCGAAGAGCTAAGTTAATATTAACGTGAATCTTATAGAGGTACATTATAAGATATATATTGGACTGAACAGATTAAAAATTGTTTGGTATTCGAGGTACTGAACCCCGCAGTTGTACCACAACAATGTTAGTTTATTCAGTTATTAGTTAATTCAGTTAGAGGGGAACATTTGTTGAATCTCCCTCAATAAATATTTGTGAATTATTATACAGGTGTATGGGTGCCCATTGTAGTAGCTGTCGTCAAGACTTTTCAAGGATCGAGGTTTCTCCCGTGGCATCGGCGCAACAGTCCTGCTATTTTTCTGCTGGGGATGATAACAGTCACAAAAGTAAGTTCTGATAGAGGAACATACCAGCGAGGGATGCAAAAGACAAAGAACAGTTTGGTAAATCTGTGCTAGATTGGCAATACAATTTTCCAGTTGTCTTTATCTTTTGCTATTTTTCGCTAAGGACAGAGTAGACATGTAGAAGGATGCGAAGTGATGCCGAGGATGTAAGAAGAACGAACATGAGGATGGAGAAAATTGCACAGTAAAGGGCTTTGTGTCTTGTAATCATCATCTAATATTAAGGTGATTGCATCTAGGGAGCTCTTGACATGTTCAGTGTGAGGCGTGCATGGGAAAGATGAGAAAGGCTAATAAAATTTAAATACTAGGACCTAAAGCAAAGAGACCGTTAGGAGACCAAAGCATAGACAGGAGGATAATATTAAATTGGAGTTTAGAGAAATATTACAGGTTAAGTGGTTCCCTTATGACTATGATATGGTGCATCTTAGGCTTCAGATGGAGGAGACGGCCTACAGATATCAAAGGTAGCTGCGAATATATTGAATAAACAGTCACAGATAGCCGAGAATTGTGATCCTCTAGCCTGGGGCTTTGGGTGGGACTGACGAATCCTCATTGTAAAGTCCACTTTATATCAAGAAGTAACCTTTTATCAGATTCGTCTAGAACTGAAAAGGTTCTTAGAAGCCACAATCGGACATCGATGGCAGATCCTCTGTCTTCCAACAAGAGCCATGTGGAGGGCTGTTCTGCTTCGACAGAGCTGGATGGCTTCTGCTACAGTATCAAGGAGTGCCAACAGCGTGGAGGGAAACCCAACAACCGTTGTCAGGATCTCGCCTTTGTATGCTGCACATGTAAGTCTTTCAGGGCCCAGTGTGCCTTAGTGGGATTTTACGTGTATTTATATTATAATTGTCACGTGTATGAATGTGATTGTAGACGGGGTTTGGATTTATTGAACTCCTTGATACAGCTCGTGACTACACTTTAAAATTCATTATTATACACACACACACACACACAAAAACAAACTCCGTGATTTCAGTACACAAGCGAACTATACCGACCGAGCGACCGCCGCTTATCTGCGAAGCTTAGTGGCAACTTTTGCGGATAGAGGGTGTCGCGTGGTCAGCGCAACGAATCCCCACGGCCGTTAATTTAGGTTTTCTAGACCGGAGCCGCTATTTCCTTGAAATAGCTCCTCAATTATCATTACGAGGCTGAGTGGACCCCGTACCAGACCCACTACTTCTCAGGGAAAAATCTGGTAGCGCCGGGATTCGAACCCGGACCTCTGGATCTGTAGCCAGGACACAAACACTGATTTTTAAGTTGGTATTACGAAATAATTTTGTATGTCTAGACCATAATATGTGGAGGTGGCCCATTGAGTATCTCTATCAGATATCTCTCAGAGAGATTTTATAGGAAACTGTTGCGATGTAAACAAAAATTAAGATTACGTATGGTTTTCAGTTGAACTCTCATGTGGAGACGCGACATCAGAACGTGTGACTTACTTCCAGTCACCCGGGTTTCCAGCCCAGTCCATGGGCACGCTGGCCTGTGACTATGACATCATTGTCCGGGATGACACATGTGCTGTGAGGTAAGGGGACAGGGCCTCTCAGTGCTTGTGCGATGTAAATCCCTTGATCAGGTATGCTCTTGGCGTCCTTTCTTTGCATGAATTAGCGCTAAATATGGAGGTCATAATTACTTCATCTGGCTCATCTCTGAAACTGTTCAAGGTATTTCATTGAAATTCAGTATCACAGATACACACTTAAAGAGGTCAGGAATATTATATTTTGGTTCCTACTGATCCATTATAACATATACTGTACATGAAGCCCAAATTCTTCAAATCGGCTTTCCACACAGTTGCATTTATATATATATATAAATGCAACTGTCATGTCGGTATTCTCTCAGTTCCCTTTCCTATTATGGACTGAAGAGAAAACATATATTTTTACATTTATCTGGATTCATCTGCTGGTATCCCTGCATTAGCCAATTGGGATACTGGTTTCTCAGTAGTGTGTAATGCAGTTATATGTAATACATGAAGGTTATTTGGAGAGTAACCTCCGGTGAGCTGCTGACAAAACAGACAAGGAAAGAAAAAATTATTACATACAAAAACACGTGCATACTTAAACTACTTCTCAATGTAGTCACCGCAGGAACTGAGGCATTTGTAACATCAGAGCATAAGTTTTTGTATGTCTGTGTGAAAGCAGTCTGCCACCCGTGAGCTCAGCCACATATGCTTTGAAACCTTTTATCAGCCCCTCATCTCTGCTGAAGCACTGTGATCGCAGCCAGATCTTCAGGTAGTCGCTCAGAGTGAGATCAGGGCTGTAAGGAGGGTGGTCAAGCAATTCCCAGCTGAAATGCTACATCTATGATTTAATTTTTTTATTCGGAGTGAGAAATAAGTGCACTATGCATTTCTGCATATAATTTAGTGTACAAGTACTGATCTTGGATTTATCTGTTACTTCATGAAACTTTTACTTTGTTCTGATGCAGTAATCTGTTGTTGCTGTGATTTTGTGATCACTGATGTTGATCTGCCCCCCATAGGCTCGAGTACACAAAAGTGCAGTTGGCTGGGAAGCTGGGTGGTGTCTGTGACATTGATCAGATCTTCATCCTTAACTCACTGGATGGTCCCACAACTGGTCAGTGTGGCCCCCTCTCAGGATACAGTAGTAAGTACCGCACCTTTCGTTATCCTTATTTTTATTTTTCTTCTCCATTTCTTTCCCATGACTGGTCCTTGTAATTCAATTTATTCTCTCAAATTTGTCATTGTCTCTGTTGGATTCAGCCACTATTTCAGTTGAACCAGGCCAGAGCGAACCTATTAAGCTGGCACTGCTGATACAGAATGAGGCCTATTACCACTGGAACATCAAAGTGATTCAGTTGCAGTGCTCTGATCTCAGCAACTTTAGAGGCAAGTTGTAACATCACAAAATTCTTCTTTTATTACGATAACATTTACAGCCTCACAGTTAAACTACATTCTCAAATGAAATAAATAATTGTAGTTAAGAAGATGATTGGGCGACTTTTTTTCTTGACAGTTCCAGAAAGGTGCGGGCACAAGGAACTTGATTCAAAAGGAACATCTGCTTCACCGACGATATTTGCTTACTTCCCTTACTTGGTGAGCATGTGGTATGATGTCAAATGGCAGAAGTATGGATCTCATTATCAGGATGTCACCACATGGTGGAAGTTCCCAGAACCCATTTTCAATACTTTCTATTATGGTAAGGAAACAACCCTCATATTTGACAAAACTCAGATGCAAAATGTTTCAATTTTTCAAGCTCATAAATGCATCTAGGGTAACTACCAATTCCAGAGTTACTTACTAGAATGTAGATTAAGAACTAAATAATTGAATTCAGCAATGTTAGCAGGTAATGACCAGTTTGAGAGTTACTTTTGAGAATATATTTATAATTTCCTGATAATGGAGCCCAGAGATGTCTTCAGGGTAACTACTCAGACTTAACTTATGCAGTCCAAACCATAATTTCCCATTAATTAGGATGAAGACAGAATCTAGGTTAACTAACCTACCCACTGTAACGGCCAAATATTCAGATGCATAACTTTTCAGTTTTCAGATGAGAAGTGAATCAAGGGTAAATAATATAGTTTTTATATTGTAACATGATGACTGAACAAAGCTATTGCTTGGTAATGACTTAATGAATAACAACAAATAAATATGCACCAGTAGAAGATCTGTTGGAGGTGGTGTTTCTATATGGTTCATACCAAGGCTATCTAGCGAGTTGCCATCAGCAGTTGTAGTCAGTATTAGCAGATGGCCAGTGACAGCCAATAGATGTAGTGAGTAATGTCTAGTGATGACATATGTTAGTTGATAGTTTACAGTTGGAGTAATGAGTTAGTTGTGAGTTCTGAGATCACAGCCAGCTAGCCACCAATGATGTAAGCACCAGAGTACAAGAATCTCCTTTGTTGGGAACCATAACCGAGCAAAGACTACCGAAGACTACAACAGACAGAGGAAGCATGTACTAGTGATTTGTCAAGTGTGTAGATTTGTGGTAGTGCTATAATTATTTGAAGTTATGAGGTATAAGCCTTCAATAAATAAAATTAGCAATCCAAACCCTATGACTAGTCACTAGAAAATGACAATACTTTCAAGAACTCAATAACTTCTTCTTCAATAAGATCATAAATGGCCATTTATATATCCATTTCCATTTCAATGATATCAAACACCATAATTTTTATCCATAATCCAGACTCAAAACTCCTAAATACTTTATAAACAGAAATAACTTCAGGGAAACTAACCAACTCAAGAAAACTTGTTAGAACACAGCATCAACAATTTCTGTTACTTACAATCACATTTACCTTGGAGATAACAAACCAGCTCAGTGCTATCTGTCATATCATCTCCTTCAAGATATCATGTTGTGATGAGACATCAGTTGATTCTGCACTAAGCAGCTATCCAAAAAGTCAGTCTCAGCTTTGCTGACATTAAGAAACTTAACTGTGTGCAGGCACAACAAAGAAACATCTGCAGCAGGAGAGCTCTTACATTCTGAATTTGAGGAGGCAGAAAGTCCTGAAGCAGTGGGCTGAAAAACGCATTGTGGGAGGAACAGATGCAGAGCTTCATGAGTTTCCATGGCAAGTTGCCATTTTTCTTGACGACCTATTCTTCTGTGGCGGTGCACTAATTAATGATCAGTTTGTTCTGACAGCTGCACATTGCCTTATGACGTAAGTTTTATATATATACATATAATGGGTACCTATAATAACACAATAATAATAAACACTGCATTTTATAAATTTTGATAAGCACTAAGGCAGGTTGGTGGGAAGTAAAGCCTAGAAACAGGAAGGAAAAAAAGGGATGAAATAAAATGAAAGAAAAAATAAGGAAAGAGAGGGAGTATTGTATTTGCAAGGAATAGCAAGGGGAAGTAAATGAATGCTACAAGAGATAATGAGAATGAAAGAAAGTGTGGTACAAGGAAACTACAATTGGTGGCAAAGAAACCAAGATGTAGTCAGAAATTGAAAGAAAAAGCTAAGATATATGAAGGTATGTGACTAAACTAGCAGAAGTACCCTTTCTTTGTCAGGATATGGTCATTTTTTTATATCAAAATATACTTGTATATCAGCTCAGACTTGAAAGAATTAGCCAGGAATCTTGTGTTCTGCGTCAATATCACAATGTGTAGTATGCAAAACTTCAGAGAATGAATAAAACTTAGATTATGAATCCAAAGTAATTAATGAATAAGGACCAGCTGAAAGAGGCTGTGGCTAGTGTCAGACCGAACCTCAGTTCCAGAGTAGCCTTGGAGACAGAGAAGTTAATCACCAAAGTCAAGGAAATTTTTGCAATGAAGAGTGACAGATCTGGGATAGCGCAATCAGTATTAGGGGCTGGCTAAGGGCTTGATGACTGAGAGTTCAGAGTTCAAGTTCTGGTAGGGTCAAGAATTTTCCCCTCTCCACCTTGCCCAGACCAGCTCTGGGGCTCACCCAGCCTCTTATCCAATGGATATCAGGGGTAAAGAGGCCAGGAATGAAGCTGACCACTCAACTCAAATTAGTGCCGAGGTCAAGAGAGCATGGATCTGTACATCCACTACCCCATACACCTTCATGACATAGTGTTTAAATAGTTAAGCACAGGGAAAATATTTTACCTTTTAGAGCAACAGATGTGGATGAATGGATATAATTTACTGCCATACTGACAAGGGTGATGCCTGTACTATCTGTCAGCCCCATCATAGACAAGATGGATGAGATGCTGAAAGACATGAAAGGACAAGGTGTAACAGGAATCAGATAGTCCTTGGTCTTTGTCCACTGTGCTGATCAGGAAGAAGGATGGAGGCTTTCATTTCTATGTTGACTACCAACAACTGAATGATGTTACAAACAAGGACTGCTTCCCACTACCAAAGTTAGAATGTGCTGCTACAGATCACATGCAAGGAGCAATGTTAATATGTGATGCCATTAACGTGACACTTTCACAGCAAGCTGAGGCCTCTGAACCCCCTACCTGCTGAACTGCAGAGGATTAACCCACATGGCACTGCCTATGTGGTGTCTTTGGGAGGGAGCGATGCCCGATTTTTGACCTGATATCTCTGAAACCCCTCTGGGATAGTACTGCCATGTAGTAACATTGCTACACAGTGATTGCGAGAAAGAACATGGGTTTCTTGGTAGCAATCAGTAAGCATGTGCCTGAAGGAACAATATCTGGTCTATTGCTAGACAAACGCCAATGACAACAACAGAACTGCTGGGTCTGCTCTGAGGCTATATAGTGATATAGTGAGGAGTCCAGGCCAGCTGGGTAAGATAGACATGATCTGTCTGCAAAGCCTGTACTGACAGAGGACTTGTATATAGTACAAAACGAATAATTTTCAATAACATGCTATATGTGTGATACATACACTTGACGTAGGACCAAGCATATTCATAAGAGACAAACCCACCTTCTCGTCAGAGAGGATGTTACATAAGGACTATGATCACAATGGGTCAATTGAAAAAAGAAATATCTCTGGTCTCGAGTTTTAGAGGGTTTGATGCAAAGATGAACTGATTGGCGGTAAACTGCCAGTCATAAAGTAACTTGGACTTGCCTGGGTGGTAATTGAGTTAAGTGAAGTGGGTGGTTGGTGAGTGAGAATTCAGTTGAGGGTTGGCAATTGAGTTGAACCCTGCAAGGAAGGATGAATTTAGTTGACGGTTGACAAGAGTTCAGTTGCGGGATATTAACTGGACTGTAATGACGAGGGTGGGAAACTGAAGAACCTCAACTGTTTTGGGCCCTTGCTACACAACAACTGTTGAAAGCAAACAGACTGGAAAACGGCTTAGTGGGTGATGTGGTGATCAGCAGTGGCACTGAAAATACTGAACTTCAGTATTCTTCTGAAGTTCTGAATGATGTGTAGAAGTGGTCAATATATCCATTCACCAACCCATACTCCATTCATAGTCATACACATAAATCATGAAGAACTATTAAAGGCTGTGGTTTATAAATAATCTTCATTCCAGGCTTCATGAATTTGCTATGTGAGGGTAAGCAAGGAGAGGCTGATTGACAATAGGTTCCTGTAAGCATGCTAGGACAGGCATGGGAAAGGGAGGAAGAGGATGTATTTGGGAATGAAAGGTGATCATGAGGAGGGCAAGAAAGCGAGCAGAGGTCAAGGTGAGACAGGGGAGGTGAAGGAGTGTAAGAAAAGGAAGGACAAGAGAAGATTGGCTAGAAGAATGGGGCTGAATTGAAGAGTAAGGAAATGGATGGAGGATGAGTGAAAGTTAGGGATTTGATGGAAAGCAAAGCAGATGTAGGGAAGGGAAATTATTTGAGATAAAATGGAGATTAGTGAAATGAGAGGAAGGTGAAGGAAGGTAACGGATAAGAGGGATGTCAAGGTGAAAGCTAATTGAAGGATTGACAAATGAAAGTAAGTTAAATGCTGTCCGTGGAAAAGGAGAAAATCCTGTGAGTCAGTAGAAGATTTTAGATACAGTGTGAAAATTCAGTTATGAAAATGATAGCACATGTCACTGGTAATGTCAGAAGATTGGAAAAATCAAGATAAATAAAGAAAATAAATAAAGAAAAGCTGTGGGGAAAGGGAAGTAAATAGAATTTAAGATGCAGCAATTAAACATCTTCTTCCTGGATGCAGACGAGACACTCCCATTGAGGACCTGGTTGTACAGCTTGGTGATCATGACTTGACATCGCCCAATGAAACGGATCATGTAACACGTGGAGTAGAGGCTGTGCTGTTCCATTCACATTTCCATCCATTCTTACTGACCAATGACATCGCTCTCCTACACCTAGATGAACCGGTGGCATTCTCACGTAGCATACAACCTGTGTGCCTTCCAGATCCAGGTAAAGTGCTAGGAATGTCTAGGGTATTGTGTGCTCTCATGTGGAACTGCGAAATGTATGCATTGTCATTATTCAGTAGCAAGAAGGTTCAATAAAAACCACCCACTGGTGATTACCAGAGACCATCGTTCAAAATTTGCTGATGGGTAGGCAGTGATAGAACAATATTAGAGTGTAATGACTTGGACTCATTTCATATTCAATAAGTCTCAGGTTTGATTCTTGAATCAGAATTGGTAAATTCCCATTGACCTTTATTATTATTATTGGAGGGGGTGGGTTTCCCCATGCACCGTGACCAGTGGTCTATTGTACATCCCCCTGTGATATTCTACCAGTCTCTATACCCTACCGATACTGGTGCGTGCCATCAGTCCCAACTCAGCCAGTGAGTTCGGCCTCCACTGGCTCAGCGGTATCTAGATGCTTCCCCCATCTACCAGGGGCGTTAGAGACTATTGTTGGGCAGGAAATGTTCTTAATAATTTGGCTCAGAGGTCTCCTTGAGGCATGAGGTTCTTTTACGTGCCTTAAAGCCACGACACGGGACCCACAGCTTAAAGTCACTCCTGGAGGACTTGTTCCCTGAAATTTTCCGCCCTTAAAAATTCCACGACCTCCGCCGGGTTTGAACCCGCGTACCTTGAGTCATGAGGTGGGAACGTTACCTCTAGACTACAGAGGCCGCTCCCATTGACCTTTAATCTGTGACATGGTGCAGGGTTGTTAATTACAAAACAAAGTATAAACCCAATTCAAAGGGATCGAGTACCAAGTGAAAATATTCTGAGCCCAGAAAAATAAAAGAAACCAGGTTTTTAATCACCACAGATATTCATTCTAGTTCAACTGTGAATTGTAGCAGTCTGTTTTGCAATTAGCTGCAGGAAGTGCCTGAGGGTTAGTTCTTATGACGACTATGAATCTACCAAACAGATCTCTAGCAGTCACCCCTAGATATGTTTTGTTGAAGACACATACTTTGTGCAGGCGAGATGTACACTGGGAGACGCAGTGAAGTTGTTGGGTGGGGCATCACTGCTTTTCCGATGGGTGAGCCTAGTCCAGTGCTGCAGAAACTGGAGGTAGACACATTGTCCAACTATCAGTGTTCACGGATCATAGAGGAACCAATTGGACTTGGAATGCTTTGTGCTGCTCCTTCTTCCTTACAGGGAACCTGCTTTGTGAGTGAATACTGCTTAAATTTAATGTTTAATTAGTGGATTGTAATTTTATTCAATTGCAGTAGTTGGTTTCAGTGGTCAATGGTATAACTTTACAGCCATTAGCTACTTACTCCTTGTTTGCATGGTGTTTTTTAGATGCCAAGAAATATCTCCACTGGCCAGTTAGTAGTCACTAAGCTAGTCAAGAAATTCCCTGCCTTTTTGTAACCCAGATGTTCATTAATCATTTCTATGTTCATAGGAGTTACCTACTTTACTAATGAAGCCAGAATGTTTTCATGACCTTGATCATATTACTGTATTTATCTAACAAGTCCATATTCAGTGATGGTTCAAGCCAGTTTGCCATTTAGAGTTATGCTTGTGTTGGTTCTAGCAAGTATAAAACACAAAACTTGTCAGGAGATGTGTGCTAAAAATGCCCCAGAATAAGATCACTGTACTCTAAAGTTTTCCCTGCCAACACACCAAATTAGAGCTGAAAATGGGAATAGATGCAGGTAGATGCCATCTAAATGGCTTGAGAGTACTTTTACAGCAAAGCCATTCCTAGTACCTTGAAAAATAATTATTGTTCCTAAAATTTACATTTGTAGGAACGAATTTCCATACCTGTGTCGTAATGGTTACACATAGGAGTTAATGTGTGTTTGCCCATTTGTTTGTTCTTATATGCTGAACTGGACCATCTTACTAGTCATGGAATTGGGTGCCTATCTAGATCTGAAAATGTATTTCACTAATCTATCAAACAAATCAAGACTTTAAACTAAATTTATGTTAATTTGATCAGCATTTTTCCACTTGAGGTACACTTTGTGAAGTTTAGGTTGGAATTAAGGAGAGAAAGGGCACACGTAATGAGAGTGTGGTGTGACTAATAGACAGTGTTTGGATTGACTGATTGGATTTATTGCACTTGCTGACTCAACTAGAAGTACTATGGCGCTATCGCTGATCTGCACACTTTACAGTTCACCATTACACACACACACACACACACACACACACTATGGTTCTCAGTCTTCACTAGTCTTATCCTGGCAACAGACTTAAACACAGTAGCTATATCAGTCTCACTATAACTGCAGCACACATGAAGTCTTCTTTGCACAGGAAAGTTCCTTCCTTGCACTCTCTTCTCAATCATCTTCAACTGCCATTTCAAGACTCCCTCAATTCTATCCTTAGCTGGCCTGAGATCCTCATTATACAGCCTCAGAGTGGATCCAAAAGAAAACACAGTTTCCATTGTTATAGCTCAACAATACCTCGATTGTTGCTTATGTATTCATTGCCGCGGGAACCTGTTTACCGAGCCCTTGTCTGGTAATGAACATCTACTGTCACCTCACTATTCCAGCTTTCAGGCATTATGTCACAATATTGTGAATATTACTCCTTATGCCTGGGACACACGGTAGTGTAGTTGAAGTACTATGCTACAAGCCAGAAGGTCACGGGTTTTATTTTTTTTTTATTGCTAGTGGGGTGGGACTAAGTCCCTTGTACTGCGGCCACTTCTGGTTTATTGTACCAGCCCTAGATGATAGGTGAGGGTGATTGTGGAGCAACTGGTGGAATGAAGATTGGCAGGGAAAACCAAAGTACTCGGAGAAAACCTGCCCCAGCATCACTTTGTCCATCACAAATCCCATTTGACCAGACCTGCGATTGAACCTGGGCAACCGTGGTGAGAAGCCAGCGACTAACCGCTTGAGCTATGGCATGGCCAACTCAGCCTCTAACAGAAATGAGTAATATGAATCTTTTTGGGGGGGTTAAGGGCGGCCGGTGCATAAGATTAACATCACCACCATCTGTGAGCTGATTGTACAGAAAATGTGGGAGCCTCATCATCTCACAACACTTTGGGTCTCCATGGCCTGTTACAGGGATAACTTTACCTTTTCTTTTTTACTCCTTATGTCTATATCTTCTGTTTATTAAGAAATAATAACTTTAGTTTCCGGCTCTACAGATGTAATGTAAAAGTTGGCTAGTCTGAAAGTTGACAAGAAGTGCAATTACAGAATTGTATCCTACTCTGTTTAAAGAGATACCCATGACTAAATGTATGGGATGTTTATTTTTAGGGGGACAGTGGCGGACCACTAACCACTGAAGACCCAGATGGAAGTCATGTGCTAATTGGAGTAGTCAGTTTTGGTGTGACAGGGTGTGCTGTGATACCAGCCTTTCCAGATCTTTATACGAGAGTCTCCGAGTACCTGAAGTGGATTGCTGTCAGTGCTGTCACATAGTTTATACATACATTTTTCGTTGTCTTCGAACAATATACTGGTTTTATTTGTATGAAGGGCAGTCATTTTCATTGATGGTTGTGCCACAGTATACACCAGACTGTAAACTGTAAGGGGATATGAATAGAAATGAGTGGAAATGTGTACAGTAATCCCTAGCCAAGTGCATATTTCAAGTAACCACGACATCTGGTTCTGTGTATTTATCGTTTCTAAATTTTGTGCATACAAAATATATTGGTGCGTTCTGCACCAAGAGGTGCACATTTGTTGGGATAAAATTTGGAATACAGTGGTGAATGACGACTGTAGTTTACAGTCCATCCCTAGCGAGGTGCAGCACATGATGGATGATGCACAAAACTTAGAATGTGAGAGACTGATTTGAAGAGCTGTTTCAACCTCATATGGAGTAGTCTGAGGAGATGATAGTCCTCAAATGATGGGAATGAAGTTGAGGATGTGGTGTGAAAATCCAAAAAGATCTTTGATATTAGCTGGACAATTCCAATTGTTTTCATTCTCACCAGTCACTTTGTGGGTTGCAGCCTTCCCTTCAGTGAAAGTTTGATGGAATTAATGCAGCTCTACAGTGAATTTCACAGGGATCTACAGCCCCAATTAGGGAGGGGGTGACCATTCATCCTAAGTTTTATCAAGAGAAATTCCCTCCAGTGATGCTCAACCTCTGGCCACTGCCGTTAGCACTTCACAGTTCTGACATCATTTCACAACTCAACTCCTTGTACTGGTCAGAGACTGCTAAACCGTATGAATGTTAGGTGCAGGACGAGGTGAGCAGAGCCATCACAAGTAAGATAGGCATCATGGACTACACTAACGTCTCGAAAGTTAACAATAAAACTTCTGTTGGAGTTGCTACAGTACCTATGATCTATAAGATTGTGATGATGGTATATTAATACAATTATTGTGTTTCTGGAAGTTATTTGTCATCCTGTTTTTATTTAAGATGGACAACGTTTCATGGACTCGAATCTGTCTCCATCATCAGGTTGAACTTAACTCAGTTGGGCCCAATCAAAAGAGCTTGCCCTGTCTCCGGACATAACATGAGGTAATAAATAAAGCACAGAACAGATATCTGTAAGAGTTATATAAACCTTAAAAAAATTCCATATACATGAGCCCTAGCACCTATGTTCATGAACTGTTTCATGGCTCTGAAAAATAAAATATGTACTCTGAAACTGAGGTCCACCTCCCATTCTTCAGCAGATATTTACAGGAGACTCAGCAGTTCTTTGGGCCACAGAGTGTACCATAAACCTATCCCTACTAACCTCTACCTTCATGCAGGGTCCCACCACCACCAACAAGCAAGCTGTTCCACAGTGGTGCACAGGGCTAGAGCTCTATGCAATCAAGAGAGCCTATATGTGGAGTTGTTCCTGAGGGACGTTTTCAGGCAGAACAGTGACAATGACCGGCAGATCCAGAGTCCTCAACTGTTGTTTGAACATCAGTCAGCCCAATGACAAACCAGACTCAGTTGCCTTCCTTCCCTATGCTGGGACTTTATTCAACTGAATCAGCAGAGTGCTGCCCTGACACAATATTAAATCAGTGGGTCTGTTTCCTCTGTCCAATCAGAGATAACCTGGAACTAAGGATACTGGGTGTATACAGAGTCTCCTGTGAGTGTGGCAAGGTCTACATTGAGCAGACGGGCCGTTCAGTGGACACAAGGTTGAAGGAGCATCAGCTATACATCTGTCTTGAACATCCACACAAGTCAGCTGTGGCTGAACACAGCGTCGACTTGGGACATGGCATTCAGCTTCAGAATACGTCCATCCTCGCCACAAAGCCCCAATACATGGACCGCATCATTAGGGAGGCCATTGAGATTGAGCTCCATACCAACAACATGAACAGAGAGGTGGGGTTTTGTCTCAGCAAGTCATGGAAGCCTTTCATCTGCTCCATCAACAAACCTCCGGAACATGACACTAGATCTGCAAGGTTATGCAGATCAATGCACGCTTGGCAGTTTAGCCCCAAGGCTATTGGGTCAATGCTTGTTCCATTGCCCTGCTTCCCCCCCCCCCCGCTGATCCCCCATCCTAGGAGACTTACCAGCTGTATATGTAGGATTAAGAAAGTGAAAAAGCTGTCAAGGTCCTGCACAGGGCTGTAGAGCCATGTATTTGGCAACATCTGTTGTTTGCCGGTGTATGGCACATACGAGTGTGGTGTAAATGAGTTTGTGTGTGTTCCTGTGTGGGTGTCTATACATGTGTGTCTGTCTCTTTGTGTTCACATCTAGATGTATGTGCTGTTTGCTTGTAGCTGTGAGTATACAAACCTGTCTGTCNTGTGTGCTGTGTTAGCTGTGCGCCTATGTGCATATGGTCTTGCGTGAGCTTCTGAATGACTGTGTCCATGTTTGTTCATTTTCTATGTATGAATTGATTCCTCTGTTCTAGTGTGTCTATGTGAGTCAGAGTGTTTTTGTGACCGTCAGTATGTCCATACATGGGTCTCTTTCTCCATGTACGAGTATCCCTGCTTGTGTGTGTCTCTGGGGTTGTAACTGTCTGCATGAGTTTCCCTTTACACCTGTGTTTCTATGTGCATGTATATGCCTTTGGGTCTGCATTTACATATTTGAGTCTGTCCGAGTATGTCATATCTGAATATGTGCATCATCTGGGTTTATGGGTGTTTCTGTGTGTATGTGAGTGTGATGTGCCCTATATGTGTCTCTACATGTACAACTGTGTGCATGTGTCTACGGGTGCTTGTCTGTGTATCCATTTGGCAGCATACATCTCTCCATACATTTTTTGTTGCATGTCTGTTCTATGTGCATTAGTTGTGTCTATGTTAGTTAGTTAGTTAGTTATTGGAGAGGGTGGGTTTCCCCATGCACTAAGACCTGTATTGGTCCATTGTGCTTGCTTCTATGATTTCTACCAGTCTCTATATCCTACCGGTACTGGTGCTTACCATCAGTTCCGCCCAGCCAGCGAGACCGGCTCTACTAGCTGAGAGGTATCTATAATGCTTCCCCCATCTACCAGAGGTATTAGAGACTGCTGTTGGGCGGGAAATGTCCGTAATTTGGCTCAGTGACCTCCTTTGGAGATATGAGGTTCTTTTACGTGCTGTAAAGCTACGACACGGGACCCACGGCTTAAAGTCCCTCCCGGAGGACTTGTTCCCTGAATTTTTCCGCCCTTAAAAATTTGATGACCTCTGCTGGGTATTTGAACCCACATACTACGAGTCATGAGGTAGGAACGTTACCTCTAGACTACGGAGGCCGCTTTGTGTCTATGTTAGTCCACTAGTATGCATCTGTTTCTCTGTATATGTGTGTGTGGGGGACATATGCCAGTTCATCTGGTTTTTTATCCATGTATGTATCTCTGCCTGTCTGTTTTACTGTGTACTAAGGGCCTGTGTTAGTCTAAGTTTTATGCCTAGCTATATGTGAATCAGTGGATGTGTACCCACGTGTATTAGTGTGTCTGTTTGAATGTCATAGTCATATTTTGATTTGTATGTGTAGGTCTACCTGTGTTCTTATTTGCTTATGTTGTTGGTTTATGTACATGCACATCTGTGAAAATGCTCACACATATAGACACAATTACATCCAAAATGCTATATGTAGATACACACAGACACCCAACCACACACTCATAGAGACAGCATGAGAGTTCAGGAGAGCTCTCGACACTCTCTCTATCCAACTGCACTAGAGCACACATAATAATAATAATAATAAAATACTCCATAGTCAAAAGTGAGCGACTGAGCGCTAACATTAAATTGTCCCTCCACAAAAAAGTCTCATTAGATCCGTAATGATATGCTAGGGCATAGTCTGCTGTACTGAGCCTGGACTAGTGTGGAGTGCCTATAAGGAAGTGCATAGAAGCCCAGGCATGTGTATTATAGTTACAGCAATCTTGAAAGTGTTACAATAATTTGTATTTACAACTAGCGAACACTAACACAAATGAGTGCCAGGAATCTTCGTGGGGGGTAAAGGGCGGCTGGCGCAGTTTTCCTCCAAACATTTATTGCTTTAATAAACACTTGAGTTACACTCCAAAGGCACAGACAAACGCATGCAGGTCTTCATGTATAAAGTGTCTGATTTTAAGCAAAAGTTGAATATATTAACACATTCTAGTTGAGCTCCATAACACACAATTTGAAGAAAATCCGTTCTATGGTTCTTGGATTGTTGTATGTGGAAGGACAGACAGATATTAAGACATTAGGCATACTTTTGCAGTGTCACTGCTTAGGTGCCAAAAGCTCTAATATTCAAATTTGTCTAGACAAAGAACCAACATCAAGGAAATGGCATTCTATATAGAAACATCACTGGTATCAAGAAAATATATTACAATATTACAATAATATAATACAATATTATGTTATATTTGAGTGAACAGGTTGCATGAAATAAGAATGACTAACATTGATAAGAACATCCCAGTGAACATTTACAGCACAGAATTTAAACCTGGGTTGGAAAACTATGCTATAATTGGCCTCTCATCTCAGGAAGGAATGACATTCTTTCGACTTCTGGTTCAGATTGGTTAGCCCTTGGGGTAAGCAATGTTGAGGCTGTTAGGACTGAATGAAGAGATCAAATCTGAGAGTTTCATGTGTGAACAGCTTTCTGGTGGGAGCTTCTGAAGAAAATATGAGTCAGTGTTGAGGCATGTATAATTTCGTGCATCTCTTCACGTTCATTCTTTTGTTGTACTGTGGTGTTTCCAGGAACAATTACAAGCTTATTTAACATTTTTCAGAATTCCACATCCCAACTGTTGATTAAATGGAATACACCCTGTGACTGGTCAAGCAGAACACAAAGTATGCACAGGTACACTTTAATACATAAATCAATAATGCTCCAAAATGTTATTGGTCAAAATCAAAACCTGTCCAAAAGACTTAAGGCACGTTTGTCTTGTAACATTTTCTGCCAAAGGGTGTGGGAAGATACACGTCTGTGTGTTTATAAAGGGGTCTCATTTTCCCTTTTGTTATCCTTAACACAGATTTCAGAGCACATACAATGAGGGAGGCAAGTTTTATTACAAGGTGACAGGCAATTTCACGTCATTTTAACATTACCTTCCAGAAATCAGCAAACCTCTAATAAAATCTAAATCAGATTTAAAAGTTTCTGACAATAGTATATTAATACAATTATTGAATTTTTAGGCATAAGGTAATTTTATGAGCCAGCAAGGCCCTGCTATGATACAGGATCTAGTTCTATCATGAACAAACAAATCAATGATCTGGAAACTTTCTTCAGAGATCAATAAATCATCCTGGCTGCTGCATCCTGGCAGCAGTGAAAAGTTCCTTCAAAAATCATTTTTGTAAGCAGAAGAAAACCCAGATTGGAAAATTCTCAGCTCTGAAAGATCTAAACCAGGCTACCACAACCCAGAAAGCAATTCATGGGTCTGAGAAATCTGTCCTCAATTTATCACAGCATGTTCTCACAGAATCAGAACAATCGGTGCTTAAGAGAGGGCTTAACTTTGTGGTAACAAATACACTGTCTACTCTGGACACAGTATGTGGCTGAGTCTGCATCCAAACATGGAGTTCTGCCAGAAAATTCAAAACGTTTGATATTGTCACGTGTTTAGTGTGTAGAACGCGACAAATAAATTCATGCCGTATTGGGTATAGCGAATTTTATTCTGCATTCACTCGTTCACTGNACTTGCAGTATCACAAATACTACACTGCAAATGCTGCTGGCTTACTCGGAACTCTCTGCTGGCTAGATGGAGAACTGTTGATCACACACTAACTTGTAGGCTTGCTCGGAACTGGCTGTGAATAGCCTTCGCTGCTCCTTATGTAGCCTCATTGCAGACAACACAGGAAACAGCCACGTAATAGGCACCATTGTTGTCTGGCCCTGTGTTGCTAGCAACGCTGTCGGGAGTTGTCTCTTGCAACCATTGTTTACCTGCGTTGCATAGTGACCAGCGTGCTGGGACTCAGCTCGCTTCGGCTCCGCTCGGCGCGTCAGCTCCCGGGGGGGGGGGCGGTCCAGCTAGCGTGACACGTCACAATATCTAT